CTACCATACACACATTAGATAAAAATTAATACAAAGTGTGTTTTAGGACTGCCTTAATAAATTACCACAAACTCAGTAGCTTAAAATAACAGAGATTTCTTCTTCCATAGTTCTGTAGGCTAGAAGTTCAAAACAAAGGTCTTAACAGGTTCGCACTCCTCTCAAAGGCTCTAGAAGAAGATCCTTCCTTGCTTCCTCCAGGGTGGTTCCTGGCATTCCTGGGCTTGTAGCAGCATCACTCCAATTCCCACCTCTGTCTTCACATAGCCTTCTTCCCTGTATGTCTCTGTATGTCTTATTTCCTCTTGTTATCAGGACACCAGTCATTGGATTTAGGGCTCACCCTAATGCCAAGTGACCTCGTCTTAATTAGTTACATCTGCCAAGACTCTATTTACAAATAAAATCACATTCTAAAGTTCTGGATAGACATAAACCTTGAGGGGAATGCTACTCAACCTCCTACACGAAGCATTTTTAAATCTAAATTAAGTGGGACCAGGCACAATGGCTCACGCCTGTAATTCCAGCACTTTGGGAGGCCGAGGTGGGCAGATCACCTGAGGTCAGAAATTCAAGATCAGCCCGGCCAGCATGGTGAAACTCTGTCCCCATTAAAAATACAAAAATTAGCAGGGCGTGGTGGTACACACCTGTAATCCCAGCTACTCGGGAGGCTGAGGCAAGAGAATCACTTGAACCTGGGAGGCAGAAGTGGCAGTGAGCTGAGATCACCACATTCCAGCCTGCCAGCGTGGGCAACAGAGCAAGATTCCATTTCAAATAAATAACTAAATCTAAATTAAGTGCTGAATTGTTTGGCCATAGAAATTCAAAGAAAGATGTGATCATTACAATCTAAAAAATTAGAGACAATGTCATGGGAACGTTAGACCTTGAATCCTGCTATGGAAACAGCAGATTCAGGTGAGCTACAGCACAGCACAATCTGGCAGTGGAAGGAAAGCAGCACAGAGGCGGGTCTGAGTGACAGGGAGTGCTGGCTGAGAAGGGGAAGAAAATAAGATTGAATAAATAGAGTGAGCCAAGTTACGAGAGTCCTTGAAAGCCTGGCAGATGAATTTAGACTTGGTCCAATCGGAAATAGGAAATGACTGTAAATTCCTGAGCAAGGAAGTGACATGGTGACAGCAGTGTTTCAGGAAGATTATGTTGGTGACAGTCTGCTGGATGGATTGGAGGCAAAAGTGACTGAAGGCCGATGTATTTTTGTCTTTCCTGTGCTGAATGAATATAGGGTAGCAAGAGATACGTAGTTTGATTTTGAAAAAGAAAGTGCACCACTGCAATGACGCTCCTAAATCTATCAAAATATGTACCCCATGAATATGTAAAATTATTTGTTAATAAAAAATAAAATATTGGGAAAAAAAAAAATCTTCCTGATCTCATTCTCAAATGGAAAAGTAGCCCAAGTGCCATTGTGTTTGAAAAGCTAATTTCTCCTCAGTTTGAAATTCCTGTTTGGTGAAGAGGCAAGAGCTTACCATAGTTTCAGCATCAGAGTCGCCTGAGAGCCTGTAAGAAATGCAGACCCTCGGCAGGGCACGGTGGCTCATGCCTGTAATCCCAGCACCTTGGGAGGCAGAGGCCAGGAGATCACGAGGTCAAGAGATGGAGACTATCCTTGACAACATGGCAAAACCCCGTCTCTACTAAAAATACAAAAATTAGCTGGGCATGGTGGCACAAGCTTGTAACCCCAGCTATTCTGCAGGCTGATGCAGGAGAACCCGCTTAAACCCTGGAGGTGGAGGTTGCAGAGAGCCGAGATTGCATCACTGCACTCCAGCCTAGTGGCAGAGTGAGATTTCGTCCCTCCCCCCGAAAAAAAAGAAAGAAAGAAAGAAATGCAGATCCTCCAGCCCCATCCTAGATCTATGGAATCAGAATCTACATTTTCACCAAGATCCCCAGAAGATTCATGTGCCTATATACTTCATATTAAGTGAGAGGTGCATTGCCATAATAAATTTCTGTTGAACTTCTGTAGTTTAAAAAAAAAAAAAAAAAAAGAAGCGTGGCTATATAATTGTTGAAACATGTTAACTTGAAAAAAACAATGATGAATCTTGTGCCTCCTGTGACGAGGCTGTCACATTGAGACACTCGCCAGTCCCAGAGCTGTGGAGCCTGCTCACCCACTTACCTGTCTCATGGGGAACAACTGTTACACGGATGACATGGAGGCATCTGGTTGCCTCATGAAATGTGTCACTTAGTACATGCAGCTGCAATTGAGACATCTGTCTCCCCACTATTCTGTGGACTCTTGCTCTAAAGTGACACTTTTTGTCATTTGAAATACATCTTCATACTGCAGTGGCTTCATTTCCTTGTTGTGCAAGTATGAGAGAGGAAGGTATCAGATTGGTGCAGATAAGGAAAAGCCGGAAATTCACCTGTCCAGAGCCGTGGCAGGACCACTTGCTTTGGGAGCATGGTTCCAATGCAGCTGAGCATCTCTCCTCTGGCAGTCCACTCCCCAGTTGCAAGTGTCAATAGTTACCCCAGGACATCGGGAGAGTGAAAAGTGTTTTGTAACTATGCCCTCCATGCCATAGGTTTCTAGAAAAGACTGAGTTTGCAAGGCCATACATTGGAGCAAAGCTTTGCAAACTTTAACATATATCCATATTACCTGGGGATCTTGTGAAAACTCAGATTCTGAATCAGTAGGTGCATTCCCAACAGGCTTGCAGGTGATGCTGATGCTGGTGCCTGAGAAGCACACTCTAAGTAACAAGACCAGTTGCTTGGCAAGGTTACATCAAGCAAGTAGAGAAAGTGATAGCAAAGGGATATCACAGTAGAAATATCTCTGTAGATGGAAAGAAATAAAGTCAAAGACAAGAGGATACATGACCAAAAAAGAAAAAAAGAATAGAAATGGTAGTAAAAAAAAAAAAAAAAAAAGAAAGCTGATTTTAAAAAAAAAAAATAAAGATGAAAACATAAAAGGACTTTTATCAATATTAGAGCTGGGCTAGTCTTGCAACCTCGAATTTGGTTAACAATACTTCTGCCAGAGACATCCGCAGCTAGCTATGCTTGATGGGGATTTTCAAGTCCCTAGGCCAGCAGGATGATAGGAAAAATATATTGACTCTGGCAGACAAGATCTTTCTCACTGATCCTGGACATCTGGTCACTAAATCTTTCAGAAGGGCAGATTAGATGGTGAATTGAAAACCCCTCCAGCAGAGGCACCAATAGTGATTTTTAAATGAGTATGGAAGCTAGCCAATCTCTTGCCACAGGATCTGCAAAACCACATTACGTATTCAGTGTTATAGTAGAAACAAAAGAAAAAAATTTACCAGACCATATTTTTTCAAGACCCTGAAGGGTTACAAGGACAGTAAAAAGAGTAAAATGAAGACAATTATTCACCCAAAATGCATCATGACTCAACCAGGTCAAGCAATCTGTAGTAAGGGAACTTCCATACAGCAGTAGGAGACCGGGGCCACAAGCTTAGCATTGAAAACAAGACCTGCATAACTTGATGATGTTGCTCATGGGATAATAACTTTCCAAACTGAACATTTTATAGTCAGCCGACTTTACATATAGTTCATGTGTCAGGAACCGAGGGCAGGCCTAAACTCCATTCACAATTTGTCTTTCTGTAACAATATTGAAAATTTTTTTTTAAAAGGTGGCGGGTGGGGGGCTGCAGAGAGACAAGACAACATAAAATTCAAAGAAAGATCAGTCGACCCAGAGAAATCTCCCAATGCCATCATCCCGCCATCTAATGCTATCAATAACAGGGAAAGCAGGTGATGTAATTTAATTAGCAACACAATATAAGCTGTCGGTAAAACCTTATTTTCCAGTGGGAATGAGCTCTACTTATGTTGAATGCTGAAATGAAGTTACATACTTTCTTACATATTCTGATTTTGCCTTCTGTGATTCAACTTGAAGACTGAATAGAGGCCTTGGCCTATTTTCTCGTAAGGAGCACAGTACAACATGCTCTGGGGTCTGTCTTCCTGATCCTGCTCCTATGTCACCCAATGGTGGGGGCTCAGTGCCTGGGTCTGCTGAGAGGGGGACCCTGCTCCCCTCCACCTCACCTCCTACTCATCACCTCTGATGTTGGACCTTTAAGGTGGAGATAAACAAGAACTAAGATGAACCATAAACTGTATCCTCTCTCCCTCCCACTTTTACCCTCGTAGAGGCAGCATGTGAGACCACCAGGGCATTCTGACCATCCCATCTCATGGCGTACCGATAACCCAGTTCTTGATTCAGATATAAAACTGATCAGGAGGCATGGCCTCAAAATCCAAAAAATATACATATATAGTGGATTCTACATGGCAAGTGGGGTGCATCAAGAAGTGAAGCTGCTGTAGAAGAGTGTGGAGATGAGCATGAGCCCTGTGATCCGGCTTGAGGGTCTCAGTTCTGCCGCCGAGCAGCTTCGACAAAAGGGCACAGTACACTACTCTGAGCTTCTGTTTTCTCATCTGAGAATACGGATAATAATGCCAATACCACAAGTCCTTGAGGATCAGGTGAATGCATTTTAAAGCGGCAGATTCTTGGCCACTTGCCCTACGATGTTTTTAAAAGGAGTCTGGGGCAGGAAACAAAACTGGACAGGTGCTTACAATTGAGTCGACAAGCGCTCACTTGCCATTTCTATTTAAAAAGCCATCTTCGTCTTGAGATTTTCTCCTTTAACAGACAAAAATATCCATAACTTTTCTCTGATGTTCCATATGCCTTTGAGACTATTCTTAATTATTTAGGTCCTATAGCTAAGGCCATTATAATTTTTCTTAGATCTTTTAACATTTTCTGCTTGAGAATTTTATCAACCTTAGGATTTCTATGAACGTATTTGATGGAGTAAATTAATGATGCTTGCCAGAGGTGAGGTGTCTCTTATCTAGTACATGAATTAAGCTCCACTTGCAAAATGATGAGATTTTCTCTTTCTTATCATTCTTCAAAAACAGAACATTCTTCCTTCTTTCCCTGCAATACCCTCACAGACGGTGAATCCCAGTTCCTCCGCCTCCTTCCAAGCACTGAGACAGCCCTGAACAGATTGTGAAGGCTGCTTTGGGAAAGGAAACCAGCAAGTCTCAGCCTCATGGCTTAAGCGGGGATTCAGGCTCTCGTGCAGGAGGCGTGATTGCCAGCGAAGCACCAGGCACGCTGCTGGTGGCTCTGTGGCAGAAGCGACACAGCATGTCTCCAGCGTCCAACACGTGGCATTCCCTCAGGCCAGCCTGCTTGCCCCCACACCCCTCATCCCGCATCCCCATCTGGTCGCTCATCACAATGGCTTTGCTGACTTCATGCTCAATGTCTTGGGCCTTCCTGCTGTGGGCCATGGGACCTTATTTAGAGCCATTTCTTCCCACCAAGGAGTTAATCATACGTATTTTCAACAATACAACCATCTGGACATCTGACACCAGTCACCAAGTAATTAGTGGGAAATGTTACAACATATCCAGGGATATTTAATAAATATTTCTTGAATGAATTAAGGAGGCTCAGCAACTCCACATATGCTCACACCAGAAGAGGATGACAGAGAAGCTTCTTGTACTTCCCTGGGCCCCTCCTAAGTACCTTTGAAGGTACAACCCCAAACTGAAAGCAACCTAAATACAGTTTTGTAAAAAATAATGTGCTACACATAGTTTAAAAATATATAGTAATAAAGGTAAATTACACTTATAATATGGTTGAATTTTAGAGACACAAGGAAGAAAAGCCAACTCACTGGAATATATCTTATATTATCCCAAATTAAATATAAATACAAACATGTGTCACTTAACAACAGGAATATGTTCTGAGAAATGCATCCTTGATCAATTTTGTCATTGTGTAAACATTACAGATTATACTCACACAAATCTATGATGAAGCCTACTATAGATCTAGGCTATATGATATATCCTCTTACTTCTAGGCTACAAACATGTACAGTATATTGCTGTACTGAATGCTATAGGCAATTGTTTAACACAATGGTAAACAGTTATGTATATAAACAACGAAATATAGAAACGGTATAGTGAAAATACAGTATTAAATATAAAAAAAGTTACACATATGAGGCATTTACTAGAAGTTTCTCTGGGTGCATCAGTGAGTGAGTGGTAAGTGAATGTCAAGGCCTATGACAATACTGAACACTACTTTAGACTACAAAAACTGCACACTTAAACTACAGTATGTTTATTTTTGAAATTTTCTTTCTTAATAATAAATTAACCTGACCTTACTATAACTTAACATATAAACTTTTAATATTCTTAATTTTTTTCATTCTTTTGTAATAATACTTAAAAACATGTGAGTAATGCATTGACTGCAATATTACTACTACCAAGTCACAACTGTTACTATGTCATTAGGGGTCAGCAATTTTTCAACTCCATTATCATCTTATGGGACTACTGTTATAATACATCGTTGACTGAAACATCATTATGTGGTACATGACTGTACATGTGCATATGTGTATATATACACATACACACACTAATATGTATGCATAATAAGATATTGAAATTGAAACTATAAAAGAAGGAAAGAAATTGAATACTATAAAATTAGAACAGAGGTTACTGCTGAGGAAAGGGAGGGAGGTTATGATACTAAAGAGATATGCAGCAACATTTGGGGTTGTTGCATTCCTCTGACAACACTATACAGGTTGTCTATATAGTAACCCTTGTGTCCCATCCTTGGGGGACTCATCTCAATCTCCCTACTCCTCTTCAGCAATCTCATCCCTTATCTCTGCTCAAAGCATCACCTGTATTCCAATAATTGCCAATATTTATTTCTAGCCCACAGCACTTCCCCCAGCAGACCTGAAAATCAAACTTTCTGATGGTCATTCCCATCAGATATCCACAGGCATCTCAACCTTAGCATATCCAACGCTTAATTCTTTATTTATTTATTTATTTATTTTTGTAGTCAGGGTCTTATTCTGTTGCCCAGGCTGGAGTGCAGTGGTGCAATCACAGCTCACTTCAGCCTTGAACTCCTGGGCTCAAGTGCTCCTGCTTCAGCCTCCCCAGTAGCTGTAATTACAGGCATACGCCAACACACCTGGCTAGTTTTTCTTTATGTTTTAAAGACAGGGTCTCACTGTGTGGCCCAGGCTGGTGAATTCATTATTTGATCCCTAATGTGCTCCTCCACCTTTATGTTCTATCTCAGTTGGTGGCCTCAGCATTCACCCTAAAAATCCTAGGAATAGTCCTCAATTTCTCTAACTCCTACCTCCACTCCCATGCAATCAGTTTCCAAGTTCTACTAGTTTTACTTCCTAAGTCTTATTTGACTCTGTCCTTTCTCCTCCCTTCCATTCTCCCCAATTCTGCCTCCAATCCTCAGCCTCTCTAGTCTGGAATGTTGCATTAGTCCCTAACTAGTCTCCCTGGCTTCTTCCTTCAAGCCCAATAAAGAAGTAAGAGTGAGCTACATAAACACAGATCTGATTTGATCATTTCTTTGTTTGAAAATCTTCAAATAGTTCCTCTTCAATGAACTGTAAATCTCATAGCAGGGATTTATGGTTATATACAACATATCAACCTGGTTACATACAACATCAGTTTTTCTCGGACTTGGATGGGCAAACTTCATTTTTATATAAAAATAAATACCATTGTATAATAGAATACAATGAATAATTTACACTAAGTTTAATTATAACATTTGGAAAGTAAAAATCCAATGCCTTAGTGGACCATACCTATGATGGCATAACCTCAACCCCTCTTCACCCCTCCTTCCCCCAGTAAGTTCTATTTGTTATTTCTTGTCATTCCCAAGGGACATCTCCCACGTATTCCACAGAAGACAGGAATTTCATATACTTTATGTCCTATGGTAGTCCCAGAGTCTAGAATAAGATCTGGCACATAATATGTACTCAGTAAATATTTATTGAGTAAATAAATGAACCAACAACCAATCTGCCAGCTGACTTCACTACAAGGCTAGATGTGCTTTGTCCTTTCGCTTTGGCTCTGTGATATGGTTTGGATTTGGTACCCTCCAAATCTCACGTTGAATTGTCACCCCCCGTGTTGGAGGTGGGGCCTGGTAGGAGGTATTTGGGTCATGGGAGGGAATCTGAGTTTTATCTCAGTTGGTGGCCTCACCATCCACCCTAAAAATCCTGGAAACTGCAGTAATGAGTGATTTCTTGCTCTGAGTTCACACTGGTCATTTAAAAGAGTGTGGTACCACCCCCCCACCACATCTTGCTCCCCCTCTCACCATGTGAGATGGTTGCTCCTGCTTCACTTTCCACCATGAGTGAAAACTCCCTAAGGCTTCATGAGAAGCTGAGCAGATGATGGCACCATGTTTCCTGTACAGCCTCCAGAACCATGAGTCAATTAAACTTCTTTTCTTTATAAATTACCCAGCCTCAGGTATTTCTTTATAGCAATGCAAAAACAGACTACCACATGCCACTGTTTCCCACTTTTCCACCTCTGCAGCCTGCTCAGCCACTCAGAGAAACATCCTAGCTGCCCACCCCCCGACCATCAAGGTTACACCATTGTCCGTGCCAAAGGACATGACAGAATAAAGCTGGATCCATGCAGATGCAGGACAATGGTCACCTAAGCTCTGAAACAGTTCTGTTTGTGCCTAGAGTCTCAAACACCCTTGGGGTTTCACCAGTTCCTGGCTAACTCTCTTTGTAGGCAGCTCAGAATCAATCCACAGGGTCCTGTAGACCCCATACCAAACATCCTCTCTCCCCAACCTGTTATAAAGTGATGACATCCACACATCACAATGGCAACAAACATCCTGGAGGAAGCTGTAAACCAAACTGCTAACTAGGAGTATAAAACTAAAAAGAAGTTCCGTTATTTGGGCAAGCCTGTCTGCAATTTGGAGAGTTTCTCTAGAAAACTATTCGACCTCTAGACCTCAGCTTAAGTGCTCCCTCTCTAAGAACGCATCTGATCCTTTACATCCTCATTCAAAACTACACACTCCCTCAAGAACTAGTGCCTACTTCTGCTACCACAGGGTGCAGCCTCAGGTTTGTGGAGCCATAAGCCAATACAGTTTTCAAGACCCTTTTTAAGCAAAAGAATACAAAATTACAAATATAAAATTAGAATGCCAAGATAATATTATTTATAAAGCGAAAAATTACTCTAATACAGATTTTTAAAATCTGAAAAATATACTACCTATCCAAAATATAGAAAAAAAACACATATTTCATTAATTAATGGCCTGATTTCTCTAGAATACCTTTCCTACCTGTTTTCCTATTTGTTGGTTGCATACTCTTTATCATCTTTTTAACAATAATTTTGTAATATTACTTTTCACAGAGAGAGGAGGAATAGAATTTGGTCTTTCCCATGCGACAATTGATCAGAATTTATTTTATTATTGAGAGTTGGGCTTCATAAAACATGCTACATTATACATAGACAAAATCTCTATATTGTTACAAACACAGAATTTCTGATAAATTCTATTTCACATGATTCTTCTCAAAAAAATAACATACGGTTATCATTTTATATTAAACATCTTCCATTTAAACTGAAGATAAATGAGAATCAAAGCCTTCGCTTACAGATTCAACAATGGGAAGAATTTTCCAAGGACTAGCTTCTGGCTCCATATATTTACAACCTTGTTTTGTCTCCACACACTTTCTTTTTGTGCCAGGAGTGTGGAATATATTCACATCAGTTTAAAACTGGCCCTGTCATGTCCCAATGTTAGGTGAGTTGGCACAATGAGCAATGAAAGAATTCCTAGAAGACATTTCTACACCAACATGATTAACAATAGCTTAAATATACATGAAAGCAACCAAAAAACACATAAACATAATGCATCCTCAGCTCCATTCCCCTTACTGAAATCCAAAAAATGCCCACTGCTAGTCTTATGTTATTTAACACAAGCAGAAGTAAGATTCATGAGAAGTCAGAATAGAGAGAGGGCACTCTTACCTGAGTGTGATTAAAACAGCTAATATTTGCATGTTTTACAAAAACATATGACCATGTGAACACTTTGCCAGGGCCTTGGAACAGGCCCAGGGAGTAAGAGTTCTGAAGCTTAAGCTTCATTAACTTCACAGAAAAATCCATTTCTAATCACTGCACTTACCAGATTGCATATTAATTAATTAATCATGATAGCTGGGAAACGATGGCTAATGAAAAGGAAGAAGCCAGGCAGATCTTGCAGAAACTGCAGGAACTGGTAGATCAGCTCTATTCATTTCAAGACTGCAATTTCAAGACACATAGTGTTGAGAATGCTGGGGGGAAGCAACAGGATGTGCAGGAGGAGATGCAAAAGACCCTGCAGGAGATGTTGACGACCCTGTGGCAGATGGGGGACGTCGTGGGTTTAATCCAGGGCAAGGTGCAGCAGGGATGCTAACTGGAAAGGCACTGAACATGACTCCTGACTGTGTCTCTAAGGCTGAGGAATTTCTATCAAAGACTGTGAAGCTAGAGCCTGAGCTGGTGGAAGTCTGACACCAGTTGGGTAAGAGGTACTAGAGAAAAGGGGATATTGCAGCTGCACGAATAAAGTCTCCCTACAAAACCTATTGACAGCGCTTCACCAGCTGTGGAGTAACACTGGAGACGAATATTCTTATCATGTCATGGACAGTCACCAATAGGCTAAATTGGCTGTGATGATGAAGGTGCACAATGGCCGCTCCTGGCATATTCTGGAGAACGCATACTTTTCTCTTCACTTCAATAACAGATCCCTAAGATCTCCTAGCAAGCCTTCTGCCTAGGTCCAAGCAGAGAAGTTTGACAGGAAGCTTTCAGCAATCCTGACCTTCATCAAAACAGAGCGATGTTACAGAAACATAAACGAGTAATGAGAAGGTCCTGGGGACTTTTCTTAGCCTGCAGCACTGGACCGCGGCTGGCCAAAGCCCTGGCAACAAGAACAACTCCAGGAATTCCTGGAGAGAACAGCCAGCCTCTTTGATAGCAAGGAAAAGATAAAGAACAAAAAACTACAGAGCTAGGAAGCTTGCACTCAGCCCATCTAGGCCCTGTGGTGATGGGCACTGCCCAGTCAGTCTCTGGAGAGAAGATGACCCCAGAGCTCAAGCCACTAAGTGTGCTGCGTTGTGTCTTAGTCCATTCAGGCTGCTAAAACAAAATACCTTAGACTGAGTGGCTTATAAACAAGAGGAATTTATTTCTCACAGTTTTGGAGACTGGGAAGGCTAAGATCAAGACACCACCAGATTTGGTGACAGTAAGAGCCCCTTCCTCATAGACAGTGTCTTCACACTGCACCCTCACTTGGTGGAAGAGGCAAACAAGCTCCCTTGGGCCTCTGTTATAAGGGTGCTAATCCCATTTATGAGGATTCCACTGTCATTATCTACTTCCGAAGGCTCCACCTCTTAATATTATCGCTTCAAGGATTAGGACTTCAACAGATGAATTTGGTGGGGGACACAAGCATTCAGACTATAGCATAGATTTTCAGTATATTTACTTATTCAACAAGAATTTAGTGAATTCCTACTATATATCAGGTGTTGTGTGCTAGGGCCTAGGGATTCCACTATGAGTTAAATCAGGCATAATCCCCACTCACACGGAATATAGAGCCATAGGGAGGCGCAGACATTGATTAAATTATCACACTAATAGCAGGATAATTACAAACTGAGGTAAGTGCTAAGAAAAAGAGAACCCACTGCCATAATGAAGGATGTTGGCCTATCATTTGATTAAAGATAGCTTCTGTACAAAATAAGGCACATGAAGCTGAGGTTTGAAGGATGAAGAAGAATGAACTAGTTGAAGATGATCAGCCTTCAAAAACAGCATCCAAATGAAGGAGCAGCATGTACAAAATTGCTGTGGTAAGAAGGAGCTGGAAATGATCAGTTGCTTTTCTTAATCCACTGTCTACCC